ACCTACATGGGCATTTATAAGTGCATGTGCACACACACATACACACACACACACACACACACACACACACACACACACACCTTTTTTGAGAGGGTTGAGACAGGGTTTCTTTGTGTAGCCTGGCTGTCCTGGAACTCCCTCTGTAGACCAGGCTGGCCTCAAACTCACAGAAATTTGCCTGCCTTTGCCTCCCAAGTGCTGGGATTAAAGGCGTGCGCCACCACCTAGTTTCACACACACATAAGACAAACAAACAGCTGGGCATTGGTGGCACACACCTTTAATCCCAGAACTCAGGAGGCAGAGGCAGGCGGATCTCTGTGAGTTTGAGGCCAGCCTGGTCTACAGAGCGAGTTCCAGGACAGCCTCCAAAACAATACAGAGAAACCCTGTCTCGAAAACCCAAACCAACCAAACAAACAAAACAACAGCAAAAGTAACCTGGAGTAAAGATGAGAAAGAAAGGCTAGGCTAATTATCCAGAGAGCCGGAACCTCTTGCTATTTACCTGCATCTGGTGGGAGGTAGAAGACAAAGATGGCCAGGAGAGTGATGAGGACGCAAGGGGCGATGACATTGACCAGGTAGAAGAGAGGCTTCCGTCGAATAATGAGGTAGAAGGTGACTTCCTCACGATGTCCTTCCTTCCCTCCTCTAGGATCCCCTGGGCGTTGGATTAACCTAGAAGGTTTGTGGATAATCTCCCATTGGCCATTCTCTGGAGGGGAGAGCAGAAGAGGTAAACACAGGTAGGTGTGGTAAAGTCCTAGTTAGTGCCTGGTATAGCACACTGGTAGGCAACCCATCTCTAGTAAACTTAAGTAAGTCTCAATTTCCATGTTTGTTTTGTTTTTCTGGGTTTTTGTTTTGTTTTGTTTTGGTTGTTTGAGACAATGTTTCTCTGTATTGTTTTGGAGGCTGTCCTGGAACTCGCTCTGTAGACCAGGCTGGCCTGGAACTCACAGAAATCTGCCTGCCTCTGCCTCCCAAGTGCTGGGATTAAAGGCGTGTGCCACCAACGCCCGGCTTTCTGTTTTTAATGTGTGTGTGTGTGTGTGTGTGTGTGTGTGTGTGTGTGTGTGTGTGTACATGCCACAATGTGAATTCGAAAGTCAGAGGACAACTTTTGGTAGTTCTTTCCTCCCACTGTAGGTTCCAGGGATTGAATCCGGGTTGTCAGGTTTACACTACAAGAGATTTTATCAGCGAGCCATCTCATCTCCCCTGTGTGTGGTATGTGCTTTTTGTCTGCTTGAAAAATCAGAATCTCAGCCAGGTGGTAGTGGCGCATGCCTTTAAAGCCAGCATTCAGAAGCCAGAGGCAGGTGAATCCCTATGAGTTCGAGGCCAGCCTGATCTACAGAGTAAGTTCCAGGACACTCAGAATTGTTATATAGAGAAACACTGTTGCAAAAAGCCCCCCACATAAAGAAAAAGGAAAAGAAAGAGGAAGGAAGGAAGGAAGGAAGGAAGGAAGGAAGGAAGGAAGGAAGGAAGGAAGGAAGACAATCAGAGTCTCTGAATGTAGTCCAGGCTGGCCTTGAATATGCAGCAATCCTCCTGCCTCAGCCTTCCAAGGCTCCTGACATTAAAGGTGTTAGCCAGCACACACACTTGGCTTCAAAATCCCTATTTGTAGTGTTGATAATCATCCCCACCTTGCTGACCCTAGTAGGTTACTCTGAGCATCTATAACAGAGCCTGTTTACCAGCCTTGGATGTGAAAACCACGCCCACTCACCAATGAAGGTCCCTTCTTGAATGTAGATTTCCTGCGTCTCTTGTCCATCGGGACCTAAGCCTGTCTTCAGGCTGACCTCAGAGCTGTCATAGCTGTAGGAACTAAAGACCATGGTGCAATTCTGCCAGTCAAAGGGGAAGTAAGTGACCTGAATGGAAAGGGGAAGACACTGGAGCTACCAGAGGGCTGGTAAGGACTAGGGAAGTTTGGGAGGTCATTGGATGCAGGTTACAAAAGAGAAGGGATCGGGCTGGAGAGATGGCTCAGAGGTTAAGAACACTGACTGCTCTTCTAGAGGTCCTGAGTTCAATTCCCAGCAACCAGATGGTGGCTCACAGCCATCTACAATTCAATCTGGTGTCCTCTTCTGGCATGTAGGCAGAACAATGAATATGTAATAAATAAATAAATAAATCTTTAAAAAAAAAAACAAAAGAGAAGGGATCATCAGGGAAATGGCGGAGGATCACCATGGAAGAGTGAAAACCAAAGAAAGTATACAAGGCAATGGGGCAGTCAGGGCAAAAAAAAGGGGTGAGGGCCAGGGCCGGGCGGTGGTGGCCCAAGCCTTTAATCCCAGCTCTCGGGAGGCAGAGGCAGGCGGATCTCTGTGAGTTCGAGACCAGCCTGGACTACCAAGCGAGTTCCAGGACAGCCTCCAAAGCCACAGAGAAACCCTGTCTCAAAAAAAAAAAAAAAAAAAAAGAGGTGAGGGCCGGGCGTTGGTGGCCACGCCTTTAATCCCAGCATTCGGGAGGCAGAGGCAGGAGGATGTCTGTGAGTTCAAGGCCAGCCTGGTCTACATCGCGAGTTCCAGGACAGCCTCCAAAACAATACAGAGAAACCCTGTCTCGAAAAACAAAAACAAAAACAACCAAAAAAAAAAAGAGGTGAGGATCAGGAGGGATTATGCCACAGGATTGGGAGTAGGTGGGGGTGAGCAAGTCTGAGAACAGACAAAGCCTGGAAACCTGGATGCTGCAGCTGCTGCGATACAGGCCAGGGGGTTGCCAGCGCACAGAGCCCTCGAAGGACACCACGGCATTAATGTCGAGAGCAACGTCAAAATTTCCGTCATTGCTACAGGAAAGAGATTTTTTTAATATGGGATCTGGATCTGTCCTCCGAGACTTCCCCCACCATGACTCATTACCCCCCCCCCGCCCGCCCCCCGGCGCCCCCGGCCCCCGGCGGCCCTCCTCTTGGAAAGACTCTTACTTGTTCAGTAGCACCACGTCTGGGAGCCAAATGGATTCAGCGGTGATGCGGAGAGAATCGATGCCATCGTGTTCCGCAGGATCCCAGCTTAACCTGTAGTCTGTCCACTCCTAGGGACGCAGAAGCTTAAGGGTTGTTCAGGCTAGAGGCCAGGGAGAGGCTTGGGGTGTCTGAGAGGGTGCCCAGGAAGAAGGTGCAAATGGGGGTAGCTCAGGCCTGGCCTGTGGTTCAAGGGGAAAGGGTTCATGCCAACTAGTTTCCTTCCCCCTGCACTGAACTCTATTTTTTCAGTCTCTGAAACCAAAAGGGGACCTGGAGAGATGGCTCAGTGGTAATGGTACTGGCTACTCTTCCAGAGGACCCAGGTTTGATTCCCAGCACCTACATCTGTAACCACAGTTCCAGAAGATCAGGTGCTCTCTCCTGGCTTCGGCGGGCACTAGATATGCATGTGGTGCGCAGACAGATATTCAAGCAAAACACCCATACACATAAAATAAAACAAATTAAAAAGTAATTGAAGCCGGGCGTTGGTGGTGCACGCCGTTAATCTCAGCACTCGGGAGGCAGAGGCAGGCGGATCTCTGTGAGTTCGAGGCCAGCCTGGTCTACAGAGCTAGTTCCAGGACAGCCTCCAAAACAATACAGAGAAACCCTGTCTCGAAAAACCAAAAAAAAAAAAAAAAAAGTAATTGAAGAGATTGTATTAGCCATCCTCTGCTACAGCAATTTAAAACTGCAGTTCACCGCCCTTTAAAGGGTGAGAATTAAAATTAGTGACGCCAAATTTGTGTTTTATAAAGTCATTATGCAAAAAAATGTTATTGGACTGAGCATTCCAGGAGATTAATATGAAGGTGGCGGGACGCCCTTCCCTAACCCACGGGGTCTCCATACCAGGTCTAAGTACACTTTCGTGCTCATTTCTTCATCCTTCTCGTTCTAGAAGGGAAAATTTTAAGGCAGAAATGAAATGAAGTGGGAAGAGATGAGGGCTTAGGGTCACTTTCTCACAGATATCGATCCCGTTTCTCTAAACTGCACCTTCTTGGGTGCAAACCCCATCTGGTAGAAGTTGAGTGGGTGTCAGGCCCACCTCAGCCTCGAAAGATCAGATCCTGACGCCTGCTTTCCTTGCCATGTACCTTCTGGTTCAGCCACGGACCACACCCAGTGTCTAGTCCACATTACCCCGAATCTCCGCCCAGGGCCGTTCCTTGACTCTTTGATCCCCAAGTTCTGCCGGACCCGGCCAGGATCAAACACGGCCACGCCCCGAGCTCCTCCCCCCTAGCAGGTCCTTCTTTCTCAGCTCCGCCTCAAAACCCGCCCACAAGCGGAGCAGCCCGGTAGGGCTGTCAAAGAGGCCACGCCCACACACTTGTTCATTGGTCCCATTTCTACCCAATCGCTGCCAAAGGCCTGTCCATCTCTCCCCCCCCCCCCAAACCTCGCCGCAGATCCCACCCCCAGGCTGTCGCTCCTCGGGACCGCGTCTAAAACCACGCCCCCAGCCCGTCCCGCCCAGCGACCTCCACGCTCCGGGCGCCCTCACCAGGCTGATGAGTTGCGCCAGGGTGAGGCCGATGCTGACCCCGACGCGGTCTCCCACCTCCCGAGCCGGTCGCACCGAGCTATCATAATTCGAGAAAAGTTTCTCTCGAAGTCGGCCTTCGACTTCCGACCCGCGGGCGCCTGACGAAGGAAAGCACTAAGTGACGCTCCGGGGCTGGCCGCGACCATTGCCCCTGTCATTGTCTCTTTGGGGCCCAGACTGACTTACCTGGGGCGAAGGGCGCCCCGAGCACCCCCAGAAGTAGCAGCAGCGCCCCTAAGGTCATGGCCGAGCCGCTTCGCTCAGTGAGTTTGTCCGGAGAGCGGACCGAAGCCACCAGGACAGGGGAAGTGACGAGGCGCCCAGGAATGTGCACCTGTTGTCGTGGGACCGGTCGCCAGCCCACCCGCCCCACCCGCTAGACTTGGTCCCTCCTGGAGCAACTGCAGTCGCCCTCCGCTCAACAAATGTCAGATAACACTCCGGTTGTATAAATCATCTTTAATTAGAGAAAGCATGGAGACCCAGGCCCCTAAGAGCAGAGCCAGGGGATGGGCGGAGCCTGAGCGGGGTTTGTGTGAGGGAGGGGGGGCATCTCTTGCAACAAGCCAGAAGTAAAAGGGCCTGAGGAAAAGTGACCTGCGTTTGAGCACTAGCCCCTCCTTTAGGACCGTCCCGTAGCCGTTTCCACCTACATCTGCTAGACTCGGAATCTACCCCCTATTTTACTAGAGGTTCCCGGTTTTCAGGTCCTTTTTTGGGTACTTAAACCCCAGCTGAGGTTATAAGCTGTAAAGTAAATTCTGTTTCATTAGAAGCTCTGGGGACATATGAGGTCTGGGAGCCTAAGAGGCTCCTCCTCTCCTAGGCCTGATCTGTAGGAGGGAGAGTTGGACTTATTGCTGAGATGGGTGGGAGTCTCCTTGCTGGGAGGGGGAATCAAGTCTGTGTCTCTATTTGTCCTTTTTAATTCTAGACTCCACCTCACAAATGCACCATACCATATCAAGCAAAGGACCTCAGCTTTAAAAGGGACCTGGAAGGAATTCCTGCTGAGGTAGCTAAGTGTTCATGTCTTCCCAAAGCAGACACAAATTCAATCAAAGCATGGCATTTTCCTCCTCTCAGCTTCCCTACATGAGCCAGGTACATTTTTCCAGAATTCCTGTACCTTTCCCTAGACTTTTTCTTCCTGGCAAAACCCCATCTGGAATGCTAAAACTAGAAACCATATAAAAGTATGGTTAGCATTCTAAGCATTCTAGAGGAAAGAAGATTTTTATAAAACTATGTAGGAAAAATAAGCAGTGGTGGTTCTTGGTTCATTCAGTATTGACTAGTAAGCATGCTCTGTGTGTGTGTGTGTGTGTGTGTGTGTGTGTGTGTGTGTGTACACGCACACACGCGTGCCCAGGATAGCCTCCAACTTGAAGTCCTGACCCAGGAAAGAAGGGCTGAGAGTCATGGTCTATGTCCTAGAGCTGGGATTAGGAGGGAGTATGGCTCTATAGAGGTACAGAACGCCAGGCTCTAGAATTGGGTGTCTCTGGGATAAGAAGGGTTAACGTACGGCGTGACCTGAGGCTGCTTCCAGTTAAGACCAAGGCCAATGGCTATATTAGGAGGCTCAAATTCAGCCTCTTTTTAAAAAATCGGGGGTGGGGGGTATCTGTCTAGGTCAAGAATAGAAGCATAAAGGATCCATGCCTGGGTTCCAGGACAGAACACAGACTGGCCCTGGCTGGGGTGTTCAGTGGATATGAACCTCTCCAGACCAAGGCAGAAGGTAGAGTGGGTAGAAAAGGAAACTAGTTCTGGGTGTCAGTGTGCCACCTAGAAAGCTGTGGCTTCATGGCGACTGAAGGAGTGCATGGCTTCAGAAACTGGCTCAGCCAGGGAGAAGAAGATTAGCCCCCAGCGCCACTTCAGGAAAAATTGGGGCTCTTTGGAGGGGAGGAGTTAATGTGAAAAGAAATATGTGGTCAGCCAGGATCATTTCGGGTACCCCCATCTTAGAACCTCTCCTAGGCCCCAGAATGTAAGTGTTCAGCAACTCCAGAATCCCAGCCGACTAGTCCCTAAGCTCCCTCGGGGTACAGCACCTAGTGAGGCCTGGCTGCTTAGGGCATGTGTGTGGCAACAGGGGGACAGCAGCAAGGCCTGGAGCAGGGCTAGGAGACAGGCTGTGGTGGTGGCTGGTTCACCGAAGTGCAGGGAGCCTCCAGTCCAGGGACTACATCTCAAGGGGCGGGGGACTGGAAGGGGAGGTCTCAGGGACACTGTGGAGAGAAGGCTCCCGGTACATGGCCACTGTGAAGGGGAGAGAGAGGAGCAGGGAAGGAGAATTAGGCACACAGAGAGCCAGAAAGAGTCAGAGCTCTGAGAGGCCTCCCTTCCCTTACACTCACTCATCCTGGAGAATCCCAACCCAAATGAAGAGAAGTCCCCAAATCCCCAAAGGCTAGAGCCTTCCTGTTTTGTCCTGTCATAACAACATCTTGTTTAACATTTATGGCTTGGGGTGTGTGATGCTAAATATTCATGTCAAGGTCAATACCCTCCCACATGACCCACCTTTTCTGGAGCCCATACCCACCCTCCAGGAGCTTGGGCACAAAGTGGGCAGCTGCCTTGGTCTTCTTGACTCGGTTTCCCTTCATGACCCGGCCCTCCTTGTCCAGGCCTAGGTACCAGGCCCGGCCAGAACGACGCTGGCGGTAGATGGCAGAGGCATACAGGACATAGTAATTCTCAAAGACGCACTCCTTAAAGCGACACTCTGCTGTGAAATGTGGCTGAGGAACAAAGATCCAGAAAGAGGCATGGACAGACAGACAGACAGACAGACAGACAGACACACACACACACACACACACACACACACACACACACGAGAGAGAGAGAGAGAGAGAGAGAGAGAGAGAGAGAGAGAGAGAGAGAGAGAGAGAGAGAGAGAGAGAGAGAGAGAGGGAGGGAGGGAGGGAGGAGGGAGGGAGGGAGGGAGGGAGGGAGAGAGATTGTTATATCATTGGCAGAAGGGAACACTTGGGAAGAAACAGCCAAGATACAATCCATACATTTTTTTCTAAAGGATGGCAACCAATGAGGCCATGCAGAAATCAGAGCACAGAGAGCAGGAAAAGCCTGGAGGGCCACCAGGGGTAGGAACTAGACTAATAGGGGCCCTGGAAATAAGATCTCTTCTCTGCATTCCCAGCCTCTCACTACCTCCTATCCAGAGTAAAGGAGATGTCTGAAAGGGTTAGACATCCAAAGAGCCTGGGGCACTTGAGGGTGAGCGGTGCAAATACAGACTGGATGTCTCAAGGACCACTTGGAACAGGCAGTGATCAGCCAAAGCAGGAAGGACAGAGTCCTGGGTGCAAGTCCTGTCTGTAACAAAGGCTGGACACACGCTGAAGGTGTCCCCAGCACCCCAGGCCACTTAGCCTCATAGTCTTACCGAGCTGTACAATAGCCCCTCAGCATTCATGGCCATGTAGTGACCCAGCTTGGCACTCTGGATGGTGACTACTCGGAGCCCCACGGGAATCAAATTGAAGTGGGCTGGGGGAGTAGAAAGCAGATGTTAGGACCCAGGTGCCTCACGCTCATCTGAGTCCCCTCCCCAGTCCAGCTCCACTGCTCCCCTTGGGGCTCAGGAAGACAGGCTGAAGACAACAAAGCCTGTCATCTCCTGTCCCTGGCTCCCCTTCCCACCCTGCAGCTGGCTTCCCCTCTCACTGAAGGAGCTGGTGTCCTCTGGGGTGCCCTGGATGCTCCCATCCGGATTTGCCTGGAGGTAGAAACCCTGGCGGCAGAACAGTTTGGTGACGATGCCTTTGAGCTGAGGCTCTGGAGAGAGAGACATTCATCTTTGAAAAACGACATCTCTGTTCCCAGAAACATTCCTACACTTGGCGGGATCACAGGATAGAAGGAAGGGGAAATGAAGAGAAGCCGGTTCCGGGCCCCAGCTCTGTTGCCCTCCCAGAAAGCTTCCTCCCACCCCTCTTTGATTCCTGAGGAAGCTGGGGTGTGGGTCTCTTCCGCTTCCTCTAATCATGAGCGTCAGCTTAATTTATTGAAATTTATTTAAATGGCTTAATTCCTTCTCCCCACCAGAGTTGGGGGAGGGGGCAGAGAGGAGGTAGAAGAGAAAGACATGAAAGGCAACGGACAGTGCTAGAGACGCAGGGCAATGTGCTTGCAAATGTCGGGGTGAGCAGCAAGGTGACTATAGGGAAGGGGCTCCCCCTCAGAAGCAGGGGTGGGACTGGGCTTGACTGACGCTGACTCAGCACCTGCTGCTGCAGCTGCCGCTTGCTTGGCGCGGGCCTTGTTTTGGCTCAGCGCCTGCTTGTCTGACACTGACCCATCTGTCTGTCTGTTTGTCTGTCAGTCAGTCAGCTGGCTCACGAGGGTCCAGTTTTCCTTGAGGCTGAGCCTCTACCCTTCAACCAGGTAACTAGCCTGGGATAGGGGACATTCATACCACATCAAGGATATAAGGAAGAGGGGACAGAGCTGGAGAAGCAAGCTGCATCACGTGGGGGCTGGGTCCCACTCAGAGGGTGGGCTGCGGACTGTACCACTACTTACCGTTGGCGGTGGGGGAGGAGGGCGCAAGGAGCTACACCCAGGGGAACCGTAGCGGCCTGGAAAGAGGCCAGAGGGACTTCCTAACTGTCGTACCTGGACGGGAATCACATACCAACCCTTACACCTCTCCTTTCCCGCTCTGCCGATTTTCTTGTTCCCCCTTGTAAGTGGTACGACCCCCCAAGTCTCTGTGCAGTTCCTCAGCACGAACTGTGTGTGAGTTCCTACTGGCAGAGGGTCCCCGGAGCCTGTAGGATCGGATTTCCGAATCGCACAGGAGTAATGGGAAAGGGTGCTCAGCACCCTTCTCGAAGCGCAGGTCACAGAAGGAGGGCGTACGGAGGGGCCTGGCTGACGAGGTAGCTGCAAGGACACCCGGGGGAGAGCTGGAGAGATTGGCTCCTGGCCAGGCGAGCTCGACCAGGAGGAACAGAGCCAAATCGTGGAGGAGCGGGAGAACCGGAGCGGGGGCGGGGCAACCAGGGCTGCAGAAACCCTCGGGGTGACCCAAGCGTCCAGAACCCCCCGGGTCCCTCCGCTTCGCATGGAAAGAATCGCGAGAACCTGCACGTAGGCGAAGAACCGTGGGGGTGGGGAGTCCTGCGTTGAAGGGGGGCAGACAGGAGCTTAGAAGCTTGGGTCGTTAGACTTGGCCCCTCAAACCTTCCCCTTGCCCTCGAAAGCAAGGAGACTCGGCATTACGGGAAAAGAGGAAGCAAACTGAAGCATAGTCCCATAGATTTTGTCCTTCTGGCCCACCTCTTCTACTTTTGGGACCCCCCCTCCCACCGCGCGCACCATCAGGGTCCCTGGTCTCAGGCAGAAGGACTTCTTCTGGCCCGGAGACCCCGCCCTAGCCACACTCACCTGGGCCACGGTCCTGTCGTGTGGGCCGCCCCCCGCACAGTCGCACCTTGGACAGCAGTATGAGGAGCTGCTTCTGGCAAAGAGACTTGGTGCCGCGGGGACACACGCGCCGCTGCGCCGACACCGGCCGGCTGCTCCCGGGCTCGCGGACCTCCCGCTTCTGTCGGATCAGGCTACTGGCCAAAGCCGCCATAGCGCCCCGGGAGGAGACACCCCCAAACCAGCAGGCTCCCGGAGCGCCCTGGGCTCCCCTAGAGGAGTCCTCTCACCAGGGCATGCTCTGGACGCAACCCACCGCCCCACCCACAGGACCTAAGGATTCAACCCCAGACCCCCTTGCCTTCCCCCAACCACCAGCTCTCACCCTTGGCCCTGCACTAGCTCCAGCGGCTACAACAGCCTATGCACTCTTGAGCTGACCTCACCCATAAATTTTGTCCCCAATGAAAGCTCTCCCCTTCCCTCCTCTCTGGCGTCGGTCCCCACTTCCTCTGTCCCAAAGTCAAGACCCTCCTAAACGTCCAAGATGTCCAAATATCCTCAGACTTCTTCCTCCCCTATTTTGGGTCCTCTCCTGCCCAGCCTACTCTTGTAATCTGAAGGGTGTGGGTCTTTAGCTTTGGGGACATTAGCTCACCCTGGGCTGTTGTCAATGTCAGAGAGGAACCCAGGCCTGATGTTTTTTTTTCCCTCTTTGCTATACTCTAAATGGAATGGCTCTCCCACTTCCTTCAAAACTCCCCCCAAATATGTCTTAATATGCAGGCTGTCTAGGTTCAGTGAGAAGGGGTTCCCAGATCCTCTGGCTGGATAATGCTTTTTCTCACAGGGCTCCAGTACCTAGGGTTCCAGTACCACAGGGTTCCAGCTGCTGAGACCTTCTCCTCACTTTGTTAACTCCGCTCCTTTTGAAGTCACCTCCAAATCAGCCCTTCCTTGTGCATAACCAGGTGCTTGTCTGGGGGACCTTCTGTCACCCCGAAGCAAGGAGCATCAGTCGTTTTGTTCGTCTTCTGGTTGCTCCTTAAATTTCCCGAGGAACAACTGGCACTACTCAGATCCCACACCCTCCAATCTAACGAGGCCCCCAAGAGTGGAGATCACCCACGTTGTCACCACTCCTCAAACGTCAACAGGCCTTAATAAGTCATAGCGCATCAGATGCGACAGGGCTTCCTCGTCCTCCCTGGGATTGCTATAGCACCCCTTCCTTTCCCCGACGCCCCTCAACCTGTTCTGTCCTGTTGATCCGGGCGACGGGTGTTGCGGGCTTCAGCTCCTCCCTCCCTGTCACCCGCAAGCGGAGGTTCCCCCCAACGCCGGCCTAGGTGTCCCAGACCCCCAGGAAGGAGTGAAGATGTCTCTGCAGAGCGCCCCGGTTCGGCAAAGTCAGAGCACTGGGCCTGGAGGTTGGACCAGGCAGAGCGGCGGCGGCAGGAGCAGCGGCCACAGCCGAGGCGGCGGCTGCGACAGCAGCTCCCCCTCCTCTGCGAGCTGGCCCGGGGGCGGGGCAGGGGGCGGAGACGCTGGGAAAGAGGGAGGCGAAGCCGGGCGGGCGGAACCCTGGGGTTCCTCGGAAGCTGTGAGCGCGGACTGTTTCAGAGGCAGGCGGAGTCGAGGCAAGGCCTGCGAGTCTCGGGGTTCAGGGGAGACAAGACAAGGAAGTCTGATGCGGCGGGGCTGGGGCGGGGGCGGAGGACTAGATGGAATAGCCAAATGGAAAGGGACCCTACTGCCTGGGATGGAAGTGAGGAGAGAAATGGATGAGGAAAGCGTGTGTGGGGTGGTGGTGGTGGTGGAGAAACACCCAGTTTGGGCTGTAATCGGCCTTAATATCTCTCTGCTTTGGTGTAAACCAAATTGATCAGAACCAGGTTTGCAAAAGCCAGTTCCTTCCCGCATTTTGCCATTCCTCCTGTTCACTGTTGACTCTGAGAGATGCTTCCCGAGGCAGCACTGGGATAGGAGGGATGCCAGCCCAGATTTAGTGAACTTGGGCCTCAGGCAGGACAAAACATCGGGGGAGACCCTTTAGCAAAGACTTGGCTTTGGACTCAGGACACACAGTCTGTATGCGAAGAAGGAGCAGTCCCCTCCGTGACCCTACCGCCAGAGGAAACACTTCGCATTCCATAAGAGTAGAAATCTTTAATGGGTTCCGCCCCCAACGCCCGCTAAACCGCCCCCTTTGCGGGCAACCTTGGCTTCCTCCACCGCCTCACGCAAGGCCTGTGCAGGGTCTCCGCGGAGCTGGGCCAATGCGCCGCGCAGGGCAGCGGAACCGTCTCCCATACAGAGCTTTCGGCCGCTCAAAAAATAATGAGGCAGCGTCCCGGCCTCGAGCACTCGGCTCAGCTCATCCAGCAGCCCGAGGCAACAAGCGCCGGCATTTTCCGGCCGCGCCAGGTAGAGCGCAGGGAGCCGCTCGCACGCCCAGTAGAGCAAGGTCCGCAGGAGGTAGGGCGCGGCGGCCCGAGTCCCCGCCACCAGTGGGCGCAGCAGCGCCTGGGCCGCCGCGTGTGCTTGAAGCAGCGGCGCGGGGATGCGCGCTTTGAGCGCCAGCTCCTGGCGGGCGAAGCACAGCTGCCATCCAGGGGTGCCCTGCTGTTCCGGGAGGCTGCCCGGCACTAGGTAGAAAGAAGCCGACTCAGAGGCCAGTGGACCCGCCCACGAGTGGCTCCGAGCCCTGTCAGGCCAGCCTGTCACGGTCACCACCGGGATCAGGTCGAAGAGCAGGAGGTGGCGTGGGGGCTCTGGAGTTGCCAGGAGGACCGTGGTGACACCCGCGTGGCGAGCAGCGTGAACTAGCCGCGGGGCGCCTGGGACCGGGATCAGGGACTCAGCGACCTCAGCCAGCTTAACGAAGAACCATGCAGCCACTTGGGTAGGGCATAATGTGGGCCATGCCTTCGGAACCTCCGACAGCTTTGGGACTGGACTTTCGTCGGCTTCCAACTCATCACTACTCAGTGTTTTCAGTGGTTCAGGAGTTTCAAGATTGGTGGTGTCACTGTAAAGCGAATAAGACCCTAAAGGGTCACTAGATGATTTTTCCACAGATGTGTGCGGCTCCGGCTCAGGGACACAATCATGCGACTGGTCTACAGAGCTTTCCCGGTCCGTGGGACTCTCTTTGCTATGGGTTTGGTGAGTCAAATCACATTCTTCTGGGACAGGGGGTCCTAAGCAATCCTGCCAGGTCTCCCGGACCGACATTCCGCACATCAGCTCTGGAAGGCGGAGCCACGCATAACAGGATTCCAGATCCAGTAGCAGCTCAGGCCCAGTGCCATCCAGAGAGAACACAGGCACAAGGAGTGTAAAGCCGGCATCATAATGAGGTCCCCGGGCGTAGGGACCTAAGGGGGCATGCCCTAAATCTAAGGAGCCTTCGCGAATGCCACCGCGAAGCAGCAAGAGTTCTGCCTGAGATGGAAAACGGGGGTCCTGGCGGTGAACTAGACCTAAAGGAAGAAAAAGGATCGTGAAGGTATCAGGGCCCAAAGCCGGGGTGGGGAATGGTGAGGCTGGGGTTTTCAAATCCCCACAGTTGAGAATTACTTACCGAGCAGAGAGAAGACAAAATCCTTGGCTCGGAGAAGATCAGCTCCAGGCTTGGGCCCTTCACTCCAACTCTCCTGAACACCCAGCTCCTGAATCAACTGAGTCAGCTCCTGCAGCTGTGCGCCAGAGCAGAAGTCGATGTCTGTGAGCGGCCGGGCTGGGGCTGGGGGTGGCGGGCCCCACCAGGGGGCACTGCCCCAGACGGTGGAAGCCATGGTTCTCTATTGTTTGGGGCTAGGGCAAACAGATCCCTGGCAGGCCTTTCTTAGCTGTCCAAAAGTTCTCCAGTTTTCCTTTCCTTCTGAGGCGGAGCAAGGGCTATAGACAGTCCACAAGTGGGCTTGCAGATGATGCGTTCTGCGTTTAATCTTCGAAATGAACAAATGACTACTTCCTACGTCCTTTTTTAAAATGCAGATTGCGGCCCGGTTAATCGGTTCACCTGACTCAGCAGGTTTAAGAAAAAACGTCTGTTTGGGCCGCCCAGTGGAATACAGTAGCCGATTTTTGCCGCCACCCTTTGTCCACCTCCCTTTACCTCTTTTTCAGAAGAGGCTTATTGGTCCACGACTTTCCGATTAAGGGGTCGCTGGAAAGGTGGTGAACAGAAAAAGATTCTACAGGTAACTTCCTGATGGTCACATGTCCACGCCCTTTTCTGGAAGCTGTCTGGGTGGTTCTGGACTGGTCCCGCCTCCTGTGAGAGTTCACCCTGGGAGTTGTAGTTTCCCTTCAGTACTGGGCGTTGGAGCGGTCCCTATGCGCCCTTTCAACTGTGCTAAAGTAGTGCCTACTGGAAGCTGTAGTTTCTTCTTTTTTCCTCCCTTCAATTCTTTTTATTTTGAGACTGAGTTTCAAAGTATAGACTTGAAACTTGCTATGTAGACCAGACTGACTGCAACTTAGAGAGCTCAGTTTGCCTCTGCCTCCTGAGTTCTGGGCTTAAAGGCATACGGCACCATATTTGACTTTATTTACTTAACACAAAGTCTTGTTATATAGTCCAAGCTGACCTGGAATCACTATGTAGCCCAGGCTGACCCTGAACTCACAGCAAGTTTCCTAGTTTAGCTTTTTTTTTTTTTTTAATATATTGGTGTCTTGTCTGCATATGTGCCTGTGTCAGATCCCCTGGAACTGGAGTTACAGTGTGAGCTGCCATGTGGGTGCTGGGATTTGAACCCTGGTCCTCTGGAAGAGCAGCTAGTGCTCTTAACCACTGGCCATCACTCCAGGCCCCCTACTTCAGCTTTCTTGGTGCTGGATTTACAGGCTCATGCCACTATCCCAACTGGAAGCAACAGTCTAATCAATCCTAGATAAAACTCCTTGGAATTGGAGAAGAGGGATAATGGGTCGGATCTGAACAGTAAACAATAACAAAGAACATACACTTCATTCCATTTGTGGGGCTCCATGGTCTTTTCAGGAAATTCTGACTTCACTTTATTTTAGCTTTGCTTATTTCCTTGTGGAAGGGTCTCATTGTATAGCGATGACTGGCCTGAAACTATGTAGACCAGGCTGGCCTCGAACTCCCAGAGATCCACCTGCCTCTGCCTCCTGAGTGCTGGCATTAAAGGCGCTGATCATTTTCAAGACTATGTTTTAGAGAAGCTGTGCTGGGCATGGGAGGTGGAGACAGGAGGGTGGCAGGCTGAAGGCTAGTGTGAGCATTTAATTTAATGTACATTAGTGTGAAAGTGTCACATCCCCTAGAACTGGGATTATTGGCAGTTGTGAGCTGCCATGTGGGTGCTGGGAATCAAACCTGGGTCCTCTGGAAGAGCAGACAGTGCTCTTAACCACTGAACCCTCTCCCTACCCCTAGTCTGGGCAGTTTAGACTCTCTTTTATAAAGGAAAAAGCTGAGCATGGCAACACAGACCTTTAATTCCAGTACTTGGGACACAGAGGCAGGTAGATCTCTGTGAGTTCAAGACCAGCCTTGTCTGCATAGAGAGTTCCAAGACAGCCAGGGCTGCATGGTGAGACCTTGTTTTAAAAAAATAGTAATAATAATGCATATGACTTGTCCAGGATCAGAGTTGAGTGAGATAGATTGAAACTCTCTCTCTCTCTCTCTCTCTCTCTCTCTCTCTCTCTCTCTCTCTCTCTCTCTCTCTCTCTCTCTCTGATTTTCCTAGACAGGGTTTCTCTGTGGAAAGAAGGCTCTCTTGCTCTCTTGCTTGGTGGGAAGGCATCTTCCTGGAACCAATGGTCGTAATATCAAGGTAGGAATAATCAAGGTGACACAGAAATGAACTCCTGAATTCTGGAGGGGGACTGCAACCAGCAATGCTCACATCAGACATGCAGAATCATGGCAGGGAATCCACATGGGAATTTGAAATTACATGTACACAGAAGCTGTTAGAACTGAAATTGAAGTCCAAGGGAAACTCCCTGCTGCACGAGGTCCGGCCGCAAAACTAGGGCAGGAAAATACTTTGAGTGACCTATTTTACCAGAAACCAGAATAAGGGATCCAAACAGCACAGACATAGGACAGAGCTGGGAGTGGGACAGTGGGGCAGGAGTAAACCAGTAAACACGAAGCAGGCCACAGACCAGACCCCTCCAGGCCAGGGCTTCTTCCTCTCCATCTGCCTCTGATCACTAATCTGGGATGTCTTGAAAAACTAGAGGACTGCGACAAGTGTGGGGACTTGTTTATAATCCTAGCACTGGGCAGCTGAGGCAGGAGGACTACCATGAGCCAGAGACTTACCTGCAATGCAGAGCGAGTTCCAGGTAGACCTAGCCTAGAGTGAGACACAACCTGAAATTGGGGTAGGGTAGAATCTGTAAAGAAACTCCTGGAAACCGGGAATTGGTGGCGCACACCTTTAATTCCTGTACTCGGGAGGCAGAGTCAGGAGGATCTCTGTGAGGATCTACAGAGAGAGTTCCAGGACAGCAGCCTCCAAAACAATACAAAGAAACCCTGTCTCGGAAAAAAAAAAGAAAGAAAGAAAGAAAAAAGAGAAAGAAACTCCTGGAACCAGAGCTTATCTGGGAAGCCCAGACTTAAGGGGTTTCAAGTCATTGCCAAGTGGGTATCCTTCCCCTTCAGCCACTGTAGGGGAAACAGAGATAACCAGGGACGTGGATTTATATATCTGACTGTGACACAAGAGGCCAGATCAAGGGGCGTCAAGACTGGGTTGGGCTTTTTTTTCCCAATTTATTTTTTGTGTATGGTTGTTTTGCCTGCATGTGTGTCTGTGTGTGATTTGTGTGCCTAGAGCTCTTGGAGCCAGAAGATGGCCTCAGATCCCATGGGACTGGAGTTACAGATGGTTGTGAGCCACGATGTGAGTGCTAGGAATTGAACCTGAGTTCTCTTAACTGCTGAACCATCCCTTAAGCTCCATGTATGAATGCTTTTGTCTACATGTATATATGTGTACCATGTGATTGCCTGGTACCTTCAGAAGTCAAAAGAGGGCATTGGATCCCCTGGAACTGCAGTTATGGATGATTGTAGACCACTGTGTGGGTGCTGGGATCTGAACCTGGATCCTCTGAAAGAGCTGCTAGCGATGGTCTCTGCTGAGCCCCTGAAGGGTGCCAGGCATAGGGCATTCTTTCTGAACCACTCTGAAAATTAACAAGGCTCTCTGGTTTTTCTGAGAGCCTTGAAGATATTGGTAATAGCAAATATTTGGTGACACATGCCTTTAGTCCCAGCACTTGGGAGGCAGAAGTGGGTGGATCTCTGAGTTTGAAGCCACCTTGATCTACAGAGAAAGTTCCAAGACAGCCAAGGTTACACAGAGAAACCCTGACTCAAAAAAGAACAAAAAACAATAAATAATAAATGGAAATGTTGGGAATGGATGAAAAGGAATGTTCTTTAAAGAGAACTCAAAAGCATCACTTTCCAATAAAATAGAATATTTTAAAAACTCTCTCTCTCTCTCTCTCTCGTGTGTGTGTGTGTGTGTGTGTGTGTGTGTGTGTGTGTGTGTGTGTGTCAAAGAGAACCTGTGGAAACTGGTCCTCTCCATCCACCATGTATATCCCAAGACTCAAACTCAAGTCATCATCAGACTTGACTGCCTTATCCATTTAGCCATCTGACCAGCTTCCCCTTTTCTTTCCTTCTTTCCTTCTTTCTTTCTTTCTTTCTTTCCTTCTTCTTCTTCTTCCTCTTCCTCTTCTCCTTGTCCTCCTTCCTCTTCCTCTTCTCCCTCTCCTCCTCCTCTTCCTCCTCCTCTTCTTCCTCTTCCTCCACCTCCTCCTCTTCCTCCTCCTCCTCTTCTTCTTCTTCCTTCATTCTCTTACTTTTCTGGTTTTTGGAGACAGAGTTTCATTGTGTGGCCCTGGAGCTCACTCTGTAGACCAGGCTGGCCTCAGACTTACAAAGATCCGCCTGCCTCTGCCTCCCAAGTACTGGGAATAAAGGTGTGCGCCACCACTGTCCTGCCTCCCTTTTGTTTCCTAATTACGTTTTTATTTTGTGTTTGTGCATGTGTACATCCATACATCCATGGCACAGCTTTTACATGGAGCTCAAAGGACACTTTGCAGTAATTATCTCTTTCTGCCCAGGGTTCAAACTCACATCAGATTTGGCAGCAAGTGCCTTCCCCTTGTGAGCCATCTCACCAGACCCCTTTCCTCTCCTTTTTTGAATTCCTAATTCTCCTGTCTCCGCCTCCCAAGTTCTGAGGTTGCAAAGCATAAACCACCATGCCCCGTCTTTTTTGTTTGTTTGTTTGTTTGTTTGTTTTTTTGAGACAGGGTTTCTCTGTGGCTTTGGAGGCTGTCCTGGAACTAGCTCTTGTAGACCAGGCTGGTCTCGAACTCACAGAGGTCCGCCTGCCTCTGCCTCCCGAGTGCTGGGATTAAAGGCATACGCCACCAACGCCCGGCTCCATGACCCGTCTTTTAAGGAAAGAATGATCTGTGATACCTCAGGTGTGGTGGCTCATACCTAGAATCCCAATTCTCAGGAAGTTGAGGCAGGAGAGGTTTGCCTCCAATTTGAGGCCAGCCTGTACCTATACAGTCCCTTTAGCCCGCCAGGAGTATTGCTAGATGTCTATACCTCCCCAAATCAACTGAAGGCCACATTGTCCCAAAGCAGGTGCCCAGATAGATCATGTGGTCTTTGATGCCCACCAGAGATGGTAACTGGCAGGGAAAACTGTGAAGCTCTGTCTCTTAGGTACCCTTGTCAAGAGGCAAATTACACGGATACAGTGAGCATCAGAATAACCTGAGCGCGCGCGCGTGTGTGTGTGTGTGTGTGTGTGTGTGTGTGTGTGTGTGTGTGTGTGTGTGTGTGTATGAGAGCCAGACAGACAGAGACAGAGAGAGAGACAGAGACAGACAGAGTCAACTCCCTCCTCCTGTAACAAAGCCAGGCATCGTGGTGGTGCGTGCCTACAATTCCACCACTCATCATGCTAAAGCTAGATGCATGCAAACTGAAGTCCAGCACAGGCTATAGAATGAGTTCATAGCTAGCCTGGGCTACATAGCATAATCCTGTCTCAAAACATTTTTTTTCTATGATGGAAATATCCTGAGTCTTTGCTGTCCAGCTACATGTGGCTGTCAGAACTTAAAATAGAGAGACTGAAGAATAGAATTTAAATTGTTTTTGTCTTTTGAGACAGACTCTTGCTATGTAGCTCTGCTGGGCTCAAAATGGAAACCACCTCAGCCTCTTACATTCTGATCTTACAGATGTGCACTACTCTACCTAGCTCAGATTAAAAAATAATTTTTTTTATTTTTATTTTTTTGGTTTTTTGAGACAGGGTTTCTCTGTATTGTTTTGGAGGCTGCCCTGGCACTTGCTCTGTAGACCAGGATGGCCTGGAACTCACAGAGATTTGCCTGCCTCTGCCTCCCAAGTGCTGGGATTAAAGGTGTGCGCCACCTATGCCCATCTATTTAGCTTTATTTTATGTACATTGTTGTGAAGCTATTAAATACCCTGGAACTGGAGTTACAGTTGTGAGCTATCATGTGGCAGGAGCTGGGAATCGAACTCAGGTCCTCTGGAACAGCATCCAGTGCTCTTGACTACTGAGCCATCTCTCTAGCCCCCAAAGTTTTTCTAAGATTGGGTCTCTGTAGCCCTGTCCTAGAGCTTATTATGTAGACCAGACTGATGTTGAACCCACAGACTGCCTCAGCCTCCTGAGTGATAGGATTAAAGGCGCACACCACTACGCCCAGCTTAAACTTTTTTGTGTGTGTGGGTAATGACCTGTATATGTATCTGTGTACCATGTGCAGCAGACCAGAAGATGAGATAGCATTGAACCTGGAACTGAAGTTACAGACTGCTGTGAGCCACTAGGTGAATGATGGGAAGAGTAGTGTATGTACTCTTAACAGATAAACCATCTCTCCAGTCCCCTGGAAGCTTTTTTTTTAATTTTTTTCTTTTTGATACAGGATCTTTAATTCATTATATAGTCAAGGGTTCCTTTAATTCATTATATAGTCGAGGGTTCCTTTAATTCATTATATAGTCGAGGATTCCTTTTAACTCCTGATGCTTCTACCCTCCACCCACCAAGTGCTGGGATTATAGGTGTGCAACACAACGCTTGGTGAGAATTTTAAGTTTTAATTGACATCCTAATAGTCACATTTGAATAGTGGCTACTATCTGTTTTCCTGAAACACAGCTCTCGAGCCTGGAAGATTACGGAGCTGTGGAGGAAGAATAGAGGCGTGTTATTTCTGTGTCTCTCTAAAATGAGGATGGTCAATATACGTGGTAGCGCCGGGACGGAGAAGCTCAAACAACCACAAAGTCCTTCTCTGGCCTCTACTCCTGATGAGCATTTGTTCCCTCTTTTTCCAAGGTCCTCATCACATTCTGATATCCCCATTCCTTCTGGGTCTCCTCTGAGTTTCTCAATACTTCTTCACGAGGGCGCCTGGGAGACAAAGCTTCACACTTTTCCCTGCCAGTTACTATGTGTTTCTGGCGGGAATCGAAGACCACATGACCTGTCCGGGTGCTTGCTCCAGGGCAACGGGGCCTCCAGCTGATTTTGGGAGGCACAGACATCTGGCGGTACTTCTGGCAGGATGAAGCAGCTGTATTTACAGTGTGGTATGCCCATTCTTGGCTGGCTAACCTCTGGGAGGATGGCTGTAGTTCAATTAGGACAGGTACCTCTGAAAAACTTTTCAGGTCCGGGGAGAGCACTTGGGCCTTGGAAGGGCAGGGGCTTTGGTTGACTGGCTCTGTATTGTCCATCTTACATACAAAGGATTTCACTGGGGAAGATGTCAGCTTTAGTGTTTGTAGCGGGCCTATGACTCGGGCAGAAGCAGTACCTGGAGCAAAGCTTGTTTTTTTGTTGAGGCCAGCTTGCTGGGTAAGGCCTGAGTCCCTGTGGGGGCCAGCTTGCTGGGTAAGGCCTGAGTCCCTGTGGGGGCCAGCTTCCTGAGTAAGGCCTGGGGTCTTAAAGCCAGAGCCTTGGCCAAGTGCTGGGTTCTGATGACAGCCAGAATCTTGATCAATTGTTGGGCACTCCTGGAGGTTAGGATCTTGGCTGTGCTCTGAACTGTAAATGCCGACATCTTGGTTAAGGTCCGATCTTTTTTCTGCTGTGGTGACATTGATTACACAGGGACTCTTGTGGGAGTCAGTGTTTTGGTTTAGATCTGGGACTCTGTAGATTCCAGGATCTTGGGTGAAGCCTGAATTCTTGTAGTCTCCTGAGTCTTGTGTGAGACCTGAGCTCTTATGGAAAGAAGAGTCTTGGATAAGACCTGGGCTCTGGGAAGAACTAGGTTTCTGGGCAAGTCTGGAGGTTTTGTTAATTTCAGAGTCTTGGGTATGGCACGGGCTCTTCTGTGGTCTAGAGTCTTGAGTAAGGCCTACATTCCTGCAGGCTCCTGGATGCTGTGCATTTCTTGAATCATTGTTACCTCCAGAATCTTGAGAGGGGTCTGGCCTCTTTTGGTTGGTTACTGGGGAGGGATCTTTATTTTTGTTGATTACAGTATCTTGGTTTAATGCAACATTCCTGAAGACCACAGAATCTTGCATAAAGCTCAAAGTCCTCTGGCCAGATGTTTGATTGAATATTACATTCTTGTGGAGCCTGGAAGGTTGGATAAAACCCATGTTCCGAAGGATACCAGCATCTCGGATAGCAGCTGAACTCCTTAGACTGGAATCTTGAGTGATATCTAGGTTCTTTTGAGGGCAAGAGTCTTGGGAAATGTTTGGATTCATGAAGATGTATGGATTTTGAATACAGGCTGGAAACTTGTAGAAACCTGAGTTCTTATGGAGACTTGGATTCGGGGTAAGGTGTGGGTTATTATAAAGGCCTGGATTTGGGGCAAGTCCTGGAATCTTCTGGAATCCTGGATCTTTAATAAGGCTTGGGTTCTTCTGGAATCCTGGATCTTGGGTAAGGCTTGGGTTCTTCTGGAGAACTGGATCTTGGGTAAGGCTTGGGTTCTTCTGGAGAACTGGATCTTTGGTAAGGTCTGGGTTCCTGGGAACTCTGGAATCCTTGGCAAGTGAAGGGGTCTTTTGAAGGTTAAAGTCTTGGTTAAGGTTTTGACTCTCAGGGTTTGGGGGTTGGATTGAGGTCTGAGACATGGTGGAGAACTGAGAAGGGCTGGAGTAGTAAGTGGAAGAGACAGCCTGAGGAGACTTGGAGGTGGAGGGAAAGGTGGGCGTTCGTGTCAAGTTGGAGGGCTTCTGATGGTTAGGTTGAGGAACAACGAATGTTCTAGGAGAAACAAGCGGCAGGGCAAGAGTACACGGTGTGGGCATGGTGGGCACTGCGTTCTGAGCAGTGCTTGGAGAGTGAAAACAAGGTCTAGAGGGAGTGGCATCATGGGTGTAGAGCAGGAACTTGGGGTAGACCGGAGCCTGGGATTCTTTGTTTTTGCTATCAGAACAGCAAGGATGAAAGTTGCAGTAAGGGAAGGTCTTCGGCTGGGAGAACTTATCTTTGGCATTGTCTGGATTCTTCCATTCCATGTTCCCCAGTCCCAGGTAACCAAGTATAGACCCAGCAGGAGGCACAACACTGTTCCCACCATGCTGCTTTTGTGTTTGTTCAGAAGTACCAGAATTCACCGGGCCCTTCACCTCTTGGGGCCTGAAGAGGGTGTTCAAGTCCTTCATGAAACACCTCGAGTTCTGGGAGTTGTGCTTAAGGGAGAGATTCTGCTTTACTCTGCGGGCATCATAGACCATGTGGCCAGTGGAGAAGCTGGGGCCAAAGGTAGCCAGCATAGATGGAATAGGAGGTAGGGTAGGGGTAGAGGTGGTGACAGGGACTTGAGCAGAGGCCTGAGTAGCAGCCATGGTCATAGATAGTGCTAGGGCAGGGGCTGGGGCAGAGGTTGGGCCAGGCCCTGGGGAATGGACTTGCGAATGAATCAGGGAACAGGGCAGAGCGCATGCTGAGGCTTGAGATGCTGTTTGCTCAGGGACATCTGTGTGGGGGTGGGTCAAGGTGTGTACTAAGGCTTGGGCTGGCTCATGGTCTTGGCATTGGAAGCAAGCATGTACAGGAGCCTGGGTTGGGGGTTGAGGTGATGTATGGGCTGAGGTTTGCTCGGGGCTGTGGGCTAAACCCTGAGTTTGGTTTGGGACTGGTACCTGGAGTGTGGCAGGGGGCAGGGCGTGGGGCTGGGTCTGATCCAAGGTATGGGCTTGAATGTTGGTTGGGGCCTGGCCTGGGGAATAGGGTTGGGTGGGGGCTGGGTTATGGGATGGGGTTGGGAGTGAAGCATTGGCTGGTATTGGGGCTTCATTGAGGGCTGGGATAGATGCTGAGATAAAATCTGCTGCATGGACTGGTGGGGTATGGGCTGAGGTGTGCTCAAGACCCTGTGCCCTGGAGAGAGTGGGTTCTGAAGTCTGAGTCTGGGACTGAGTGGAGGGGAGCTCATGAGTGTTGGTTGAAGAATAGGTTTGAGCCTGGGCTGGAGCATGGGGTAGACTGTCATCTGGTGCCTTAGTCTTGTTCTCTTGGGGTGAAGGAGGTGGCACCCTGTTCAGCTTCCTTATCTTTGGAGTCTGGGGAGAAATCTCTGGCCTGGAAAATAAAGAAGCCTGAGTCTTCATGACTGTGGCCTGAGGGGCTTCCCCAGCCCCCCTCAGTCCCTCGTTCCACAGTTCCCATGGAGCTTCTGTGGGAGCTCTTCCATGTCCACATTGGGGAGGCATCCAGCAGCATCTAGAAACATTCTCATCATTTGTGTCTGGTATCCAAGAGTCAAGGTGATTGACATGCCCGAGTAGGAAATTGGGGTGGCGATGAAATCGGGAGGGCATTCTTGAGCACAAGTTCTTGGGATCTGCGGTGCAGCGCACGCACGTGGGTCGGCTGTTTAGACCAGCAGGTTGCTTGTCTGCAGGGAAAGGCGGATGGTAAAGGACAGGGTGCCTAGGTGGGAACTGGAACTGTGACAAAAGGGACAAGCCACATCCCCAGGAGACCATGTAGGAGCCTGCTCACCTTTGGGGAAAAAATGATGGAAAAGAATCCTCAGGGAGTTCTTCAGATGCTTCCAGAGCTGAGGGGAGCGGAGGGAGGAGAGCCCAGAAGTGGGGTGAGCCCCAGAGGCCAAAGTCTGTCTGGCCAATCCCAGCAGCCTTCCCACTTGAGCCCCTCGAACACCCCAGACCTCATGGCTATAATTACAGCACTCAGGAGACTGAGACAGGAAGAGCTTAAGCTTGGGATTCAAACAGCCACATAGTGAGACTTTGTCTCAAAACAAATAAGCAAACGAAGCCCAGAGCCCACTCCACCCTGCTGCCCAGTCCCTGCCCTGACCAGAGTCACCACATTGATTCCCACGTTGAGCAAGATGAAGCTGCCCAGAATCAGAAGAATGGAGTCTCCTAAATCCTGGCATCTCCTGAGGTTGGTGCCAGAGCATGCTTGGGCTCCATGGTAGACTTGCTCACCCATGACCTGGGGTCCCAGGACTACCTGGGCCCCATGGCCCCCACATACTAGGAATCAGACTCCCCTAATGAGGGAGGGGAGGAGACCTGAGTCACAATGGAGCCGGTGATCACAATGAGATGTCGGAAAAGAAAGGACCAGGATGAAGCTCCCTGGTAACCGGGTCTGAGCAACCCACGCCTACAGGCAGACCAGCTCCCCTCCCTTTACCAACTCTTCCCCCGGTGATTGACTCACTCAGCCCAAACGTGCCTCATGCCATCACTCCTGCAGCTGAGAACCCAGAATCTCACCCCTTGATCACTCCTAAGACTGGGAAGCTCTTGACCTCAGAGACCTGGCTGAAATCTAGAGCCTCCGTCTTCTTCCTGCGCTAGGCTTCAAGCCTTTATCCGTCTGACCTCAAACCCTTTTTCTCCCCCCCAACCCCCAAGTTTACTTTATTATATAATATACATATACATATATACATACATACATACATGTTTTTTTTTTTTTTTTTTTTTTTCGAGACAGGGTTTCTCTGTGGCTTTGGAGGCTGTCCTGGAACTCGCTCGGCAGACCAGGCTGGTCTCAAACTCACAGAGATCAGCCTGCCTCTGCCTCCCGAGTGCTGGGATTAAAGGCTTGCACCACCAACGCCCGGCCATACATGAGTGTTTTGACAGCACACATGTATGCCTGGTTTACATGGAGGTCAGAAGAACCACCCAGGTCCTCTGCAAAAGCAGCATGTGCTCAAAGAGCCACCCCCAAGCTCTGGTCTCAGTTTCTCAAGCAGATCTGAGTCGGTCCATTTTGGGAAAAGGAAGAAGTGAGCAAGATGTGTGCTCTGGAGACCTGTGATTTGCAGTTTTCAGTTTAAGACATTTCAGACAGGATCAAGAGGGGCCGACTGGCAGGAACATGACCCCTGGGGCAACAGAAGCATCACATCAAGGGGAGACTGGTTTCTCATGTCAGGACCCCGGGCTGACGAGAGGAGAGGCATTTCCAAACCACAAACGACAAGAGTTCCTGGACACTTTCTCTTTACTCCTTCTCCGTGCCCTGCTCCACCGCCCCATCACCTGCTGGTCAGTTAAGTTTCCCTGTCCGACTTCTGTGCAGAGAGGGCCTTGAGGCTGAGGTGGACGGTGGTGGCAATGAGCTGGCCCGCCCTCTGTTCTCCTGCACCTGCCTCTTCAGCTCCAGGCTATCATACACCTGGTAGCTGGCATTGCCACCCGGATTCCGACTGAGCGGAACAAAGGTGACTGGAGGTGGGGTTGGATCAGAAGCCTGGACTTCAGGTAAGGGCTGGGAGCAGTGAGGCATCAGACCGGAGCTGGCACCTGGGGCTCTTTGGTAAGCCTCACCCAATGCGGTGAGGGAGGTAGACGTGGTTAGAGGGTGCCGAGAGGGAAAAACCTCAGTCCAGTCGCCTGCCCGCCTGCGGAACTCGTGAGATTCCCGGGAGCTGTAACCCACGTGTCCTACGGACTGGGGTGGACTTTGGGTATAGGTAGGGAGACTCTGCCGCCGGTGGGCCTGTGGGGAGTTGTGCTCCCGGTAGCCCTGGGCCTCTGACCTGGGATTCCTGCACGCAAAGGCCGGTGTTGGCTCAGAGCCTTCCACCCCACGCCGCCGCTGATCCCAGGCATCATGCGGTATGTGGCCCCCTGAAGAAAAAGGGCTGTAGCCCGCAGTGACGCAGGAAGGGTTAGGAAGCAGCCGGCGGGCAGGTGGTGGTGGTGAAGCCCAGGGCTCAGTTTCCACATTTCCCCAAATCCGGGACTGTGAGTAATGGGGACCGAAAGCCTGTAGCCTCAGTTCTGACTTGGCTTCTACCCGCTTGGGCAAGCGGCGCAGCTCTGGTGACAGGTAGATAGAGGGTAAGGGGAGGCTGGCGAGGATTCCACCCTGGCGGCCCCACAGTCCCACATTGGAGGCTAGACCCATTGGCTTATAAAGACCGCCCCAGCTCCTACGGGGGTATTTGGGATGCGGGCAGGACTGGTCATCCTCCGGAAGGGAATCCCGGTCTTCCAGGTCACAAAAGGACAGTGGCCTCGGCTGTGACGTGTAGCTTTGAGGTTGTTTACGAAAGCGTTTGTAGCGGTGGGAGAGCTGCCTGTTGTTTCGAAGCCTCTGCTGGTGGCTGTGGCAACCCTGTGGGTAGCGGTTGTGGCTGCCCTGTTGGTGGCGGCTGCGGCAGCGCCTGCGGCGGCGCCTGCTGCTATAGCGCTTACGGAGATAGTGGTAGGAGGAAGGGGAACAGTGTGTGGGTTGCGCCATCTTCACTTGTACAGGGTCCAGGATACAGTGGATGTGGACGTCCTGGACATTGGCTGGGGGATCTTTGGGGGGACATTCGGTAGCCTGGACTTCATCAGCTACAGACAAGAGCCAAAAAGTTCAGGATTAGGAACACTTGGTCCATTTTTTTTTTGGACCCAGGTGTGTGTGTGTGTGTGTGTGTGTGTGTGTGTGTGTGTGTGTGTGTGTGTGTACTATTGTCTAGCATACTTACTTTTCTGATTTATCCAACAGATCATCTTGTTTAAGGCATTCTTGAGCCCATGCCACATCTGGGGGTGGTGGGGAGATGGGAGTGAAGATCAGCTTTCTGATACTATCTCCATTCCCAACAATCCCACCCATTTCTGCAAGTGAAGGAAGCTTGCAGCTGGCTTTTCCACTCAGCCTTCTTCCCTATGGGTGAACCACAGTGATCACTGACCACAGTTGTCACATTGATGCTGATGTTGACAAGAATGATGAGGCCCAGCAGCAGAAATAGGATGTCCTCAGCATCCTGGGGGCTTTCTTGGTATTGATGGCAGCACCCCAGGGTGCCCTGCCACAGCTGGTTTTCCATGGTGGGGGGGTCCTAAGGCCACCTGGGCCACCCCCCACCCAGCCCAAACCACACTGTATTCAAGCCAGTACCGAGAGATGCTTACTATCTGTGTGAGGGGGCCAGGTCATAATGAAGCAGGTTAGAGTCATAATGGAGAGGTAAAAGCTCTTTTATTCACTAATTTGACCCCTTACATGACAACTTTTCTCCTTGTCTTCCATTTGATAAAAGATGGCCCAGATGCACTTGAGTTCAGTCTTCTCCCCCTCTGCTCTTAACCCCACATCTGGTTTCTCACCAGAAAGTATGGTAGCCACGTCATGAGACCATCTTCACAGGATCAAAATATCCATAAAGGATTTCGTTGCTCTTCTGAGACATGGCATCATATATTGCCATGCCACATTTCTTGCCTGCTTTGAGGTCAACATCTACAGTGGTAATGAATGACACGTAGCAGCGCCGACTCTCCCATCCCATTTCCTTGTCGCAACCCTTTTCGTACTAGCACCCTTGTTGCATCACACAGACTTGTACCTTGATGAGATTGCTGTTGACAACTACCAACATCGACTGTGGTCCTCCCTCCTTCCAAAGGAACTGTCCTCTCACCAACCCACCCTACTCTAGATTGAAAAGCCGTCAGCTGCCACCTTAAGAAAAACCACAGCACAGTATGGCAGCAATGAAAAGCCGTCAGCTGCCACCTTAAGAAAAACAACACAGTATGGCAGCAATGGGCTTGTCCAGTTGCTGGAGAGGTTGAGGCAAGAAGAGCTCTAGTTCCAGGCCATCCTGGAGCTAGTGATACCATCTCAATAGTACACACACACACACACACACACACACACACACACACACACACACACGCAGGTACAGTGTAGTAAAATAGTAGAATACTTGCTAAACATGTTTACTCACCATTAGAAAAAAATTAAGCAGTTCACGCAGTTAACAAAGTATAAAATAGATAAATAGATGTAATTGTTGATATGACAGGCATCTTTCATGTACACTAAATTAACAATCACGTATCTGTGAGAGTAGCACCCTCGTTGCAAGTGTGGGTTTTTGTTTGATTGTTTTTTTAATGATAGAATCTAGCAGGAGATATTGAGATGACTCAGCAGGTCAGAGTGCATACTGCTCTTAGAAGACCCACGTTCAGGTCCCAGCACCCAGGTTGGGTGGCTCACAAGTACTTAGAACTTTAGTTCCAGATGATCAGATGCCCTCTTCTGGATTTCACTGGCAATTGCACTGAAGTGCACATAGACATCTAATTTAAAAAATAAAAATAAAGAGGCCAGGTATGGTGGCCTCGAGGCAGAGGCAGGGTAGATCTCTGAGTTCAAGATCAACCATGACCAATACAGTGACTTCCAGGCAATCTTAGGTTACATAGCAAAACCCTGGCTCAAAAAGACAAAATAGAGTCTTATGCAATCCTCCCTTGTCTGGAACTCAAGATGATCAAACTGGCCTTGAACTTGCAACAAACACCCTGCCTTTGCCTCCGGAGCACTGGGATTATGGACATGCACCACCACACCCTACCAACAAGTCATTTTGGCTGTGTTTTGAGACAGGGTCTTGTGTAAACCAGGGTGACCTTGCCAAACTATAGTTAAGGACATCCTCAAACTCCTTGATCTTTCTGCTTCCACCTGACAACCAAGAACGCTTTATACAGTAACCTACTCAGCAGAAACGGAGGAAAGATATTTCCTATGGCTCCAAACACAATGTGTGCCATGCTCACTATGTACCTAAAGAATAAAATTAACTTGAAATGATCAAGAACCTTTTGTTTGTGGTTTTGTTTTGCTGATATGGTGTCTTGCCATTGTAGCCCCTTCTAGACCAGGTCTGAGTGTGTAACCCTGTCTAGCTTTGAACTTGCAGTGATCATCCTACCTCAGCCTCCTGAGTACAGGAATTACAGGCCTGTGCTAACACTCAACTTCAATAACTCCAGTTGGATGTAAACAAAAATAAGGTTATTCACAGAAAATATGTTCACATTCCAGAAATCCATCTAGTATGAAAGGTGATGTCCAGTGCCTTCAGCCTGGGGTCACATGGTTTCTTGTTCTCAAGATTTTGTGTGCCCCAGCATAGGCAAATCTCAGCCAAGTAGGAGCAGGGCAGGAGTTCATTTTTCTTCTGTCCAGTGGATGGAACATTCGGAAGCGATCACATGGTAAAATGTAGTCTGGGCTGATTCATTGACTGTGGGAATTTAATCCATCAGCAGGAATGGAGAGGAGGGATACAAAGTTTTAAGTCTGTGAACATGATCCCTGGTATCTGTGTCCACAAGCAAGTCACTTGGCTTGAGCCTGCATCTTTTGTGACATGGAGAGGCATATAACCACAGAAGGCTGAGACATTATGGGATGGTGTCTCTTGAGAGTGTC